GGCCGCGTAGCAGAGGGCGGCGGGGCCGCGATCGAAGGGCGGCGGGGCCGCTAGGGAAGGGCGGCGGAGCCGCGAGGGGAAGGGCGGCGCAACGGTCCGCTAGGGGCGACACGACGGGTCGCTAAAAAAAAAACGCGCCTCGGGGCGCGGTTCGGTGGGCCCTAGAAGCAGTCCCTAGGAGGGAACCTGCTCTGATTCCATGTGAAAACAAAGAACGAGAATGGAATCACTATGAACGAAGAGGGTACAAATAGGAAACCCTAATTGGGTTGTACCCCCTATGGGATACCCCACTATAGCCTACAGAAACAAGTAAGCTATAAGTTCTGACACAACCTCCCCGCCTAGCTAGGACTTCCCTTATTTAGGCCTCGTCACTTCCATGGTATCGTCATTCAGTAATCAGTCATTCTCGTTATTTGATATTCTGCGCAATCTACAAGTTCATTCATAACACAAACTGTAGCATGGTTACAAGTCCGTAAACAGGGTAACTGATGTGCACACCAGTCGCAGTTCACGATCGATTGTAAGGATTTACAAATCCTTAATGAGGCACTCGTTAGCGAGGTCATCCCGAGGGTCACGCGACGAACCTGACCTTCCTATTTCGTCGCACCGAACCACTCCCGAGTCGGCCTCCGCTCCAATCGCAACCATCACCGAGCCATCCTCGCCCAACCTCCCCGCCTAGCTAGCTTTTCCCCTATTTAGGCCTCGCTACTTCATTGTTCATTCAGTGATTCTGTAATTCTCATTCTCGATATTCGATATTCTGCGCACTCTGCAAGTTAATTCATAACACCTGGTATCAGAGCTACTTTCCTAGCCTACCCCGCTTTTTAGAGTGTAATACCCCTCGGGGGGGGGGGGGACGAGGAAGGATGTCCTGGGGTCCAGGAGTTGCCTAGGCCGGCCAAGAGAACGGGTTAGTTGCTCTTCGCGGCCATGGATTTATCGTGCACTCCTCGGCACCGCCGGATCCTTGCCTCGAACGGTCGCGATCGACCGTGGCCTCCCTCCCCTCGGGCAACGGACAGCTGTAGCTGTTGCGACATTAAACGTGAGTTATTTCCGCTGCGATTTACCGACGATTTCGGAAGTTTTGTGTGGCAGCTGGCGTCAGCGGACCTGCGTCGGCACCTGCACGAAATTCGCGGAGTCGTCAACGTGTGTGGCAGTTGACGCCGTCGGACCTGGGTCAACAGCTGCGCGACAACTTCGGAGTTCGTCTGAAGCGGCAAGTTACGACGGTGGCTCGTCGTCATTTTGCGCGCGTGACTCACGGAGTGTGGCTCGGCAGCTGGCGACAACGGACGTGCGTCACTGTGGGCGACAGTTTCGGATCTGCTGTGAAGAAAAAGTCGGCTGGGGAACTCGCCAGGCGCAAATGGAGTTTTGCGTCCGAAAATATCGGTGGACGAGGAGAGACGACACGCGAATTGCTCGAATTATGCGGGGTCAACTGTCGCCCCGCCCGACCTGAAGTGCAGCGGCTTTTACTGCATGGCGGGCGCGTCATCGAAGATTTCGGCAGGAGTGCACGTGGACAGACGGGATTTTCGGACCCGCCGACACTTACGGGCTGCAACGAAAAGCGGAGTGGCCATATCGCACTTAGCAGAAGTGGGGCGCAGGCGGCGAGGGAAACCGGGGCCGGTAACCTCGGAAAACGACTCGTGCGACGCTGCGTGCCTGGAGTTGTTGCAAGCTGGCCGGCAGTTTCGAGAGCGGTTTCTCCTACCAGAGAAGTCGTTTTCGGGGACAGCTGCAAGCGATCCACGATTAAACGGCGTTCAACGTACTGCCCCGACATTTACGGAGGAGTCGGTACAGGCCGCCGGGACACACGGGAAGAAACTGCCCGACGGCTAAGCGGGGGTCGAGAAACGGCGTGAAGGGCAGGTTAAAAGCCGGTGTGAACGGCCTGTGTCCTTCCGTCGCCCGAACCTCACCATCCCCACCAAGTTTTAGTTCTGACTCATGCAGTCAACTACTTGGCCGAATAACGGGGGTGAACACGGGCCTACCCTGCGCTGGTTAAAGGTACCTGGGTTGGTGCTCGTTCAACAGCTGTACAGAAAAAACAAAAAAAGGTGGAGTTGCGGCACTGTTCTACTCCGACAAAAGCGGGCTGGGTGAAACAGCACGCGAAAAAGTCGGGGCGCCGCATGACAACAACGGTGCAGTTCGCTGGTTTCTCCTGACCCGGGCGTCTACACGAGGTGACAACGCAGCGGCAAAGCAGGGACCGGGAGCTGTGCAGTTTTAGTGGCGCGACGGTTGCGGTGGGCTGCAAAACGGTTGGGCGACTGTTTCTTTTAATTAAGGGTCCCCGACTCCGATAGTTTTTCCCCCTCCACCGTGGCTGGGTTCGCGCGGGCAACACCGACATACCCCATCCGAAAAATGCGGACGCTGGGTGAACGGCGGGAAGCGGAATTCTCGGGGGGTGAAACGACAAAAAAAAATATGAAGCTGCGGGTATTTCTTCGCTTCTTGGAGTGCGGCTGAGTCGTTGGGGGACTTCGCCTGAAGGGCACTTATCGAAGTAGCCTGGCAAGAAACACAGCGGCAAGGAGACCTAGGACCCCCGGTGTTTAAACGCACACCTCGGGAAATTCTTCAGAACAAAGGGAGCGTGGGAGCAGTCGTAGCGTCGGGAACTTATCGACCGGCGGTGAGCGATGCGGTGAAACATCTGCAAAGCGCTGGTGGGAGAAACGTGGGTGTTTGTTAAACAGCATCGGCGGAAGCAGTTTTCGACTACGACGTCAACGGCGTTGATGCCACTAGGTTCCGTGAAATTCGGTCTCGGAATAACCCATGGCAGTCCCCGGTTCTCGACTGTACCCACATGCTGGGGTCGGGTAAACCGAAGGAAACTGATGGTGACCGAGTGGGCGGCTATAGCACGTCCGAGGTTTTCGGAGGCGAACTGCAACTGCAACTGCGGAATTACGGGGTCTGATTCGAGCGACAAGTTCGCAGTGTTTACGAGGAGACTTACAGGTTTTACGGCAAGGAGCGCCGACATTTTCGGAGGAGCATTCGGCGTTTGGTTAAAAGCGCGCGACATTTACGTGGGGCAACAGCGCGGGAACTACACGGATGTTTTCAGGGGTACGAACGACTTACGACGAACTGGAGGTGGCAGCAGCAACAGTGGAGGGGGGGAGAGACAGCTGTATTTTTTCATCTCTGCCCAGGAGCCCTCGGCGCATTACGACAAACTTCTCGGCTGGTCTGGACAAAACCGCTGGAGGTGCTGACATCATCTGACACTGGACTGCGCTCGACAACATTTTCGGAATGACATTCGCAATTGGTTACTACTTCGACGACCTTCGTCGAGTCTCGTTTTCGACTTCGTCATCAATCGTATTCATCGCCGACAATTTCGAATCACCCCTGATTTCACGGCCAGAGGATTTCAGGACGCCTCATCCAACTCTACTAACGACAATCCGCTGAGCTCGACCCGCCCACGGCAAACGATTCGATTTCAACTGCTGCCAGCCGCAACTGCTGAAGATATCGCCTGATTCTGGCGAATTGAAGACAAAAATGTTCTGTTCGAGTAACATGGTTTTTCCGACGCGGTTTCCGGGCTACATATGCTGGTTCGCCCTCGAAGAAATTTTGGGCACGTAACACCTGGCATTCGTCATCGACTTTCCACACCGACGAGTCTTCACCTGGCTTTCTACGCTCGACATTCGCTTCAGTGGGTCTTAACACCTGGATTTTTGTTGGTTTTCATCTCTGCGCAGCTGTGAAACATTTTCTGGTGTGCTTTCTTGGAGGGGGGAGAAAGTGCGCTGCACTGTTCTTTCCTTGGCGTTTTCTCGGTCCTTTCTGACTTTGTCAGTTTGCGTCAGCACGACGGACGCTCGCGATCGCACCGACACGATCGACGGTTTCTGCTACATCGCGATTGAATTTCCCTCCAAAATCGCATCTTTTTCGACCGTCAGATTCGCAATTACTCGATCAACGGCCCACATTCCAACCTCTACTTCATATTGGGCCAGTTCATCTTCGACCGTCAGATCGAAATCGTACTTCATCAACGGCCTACATTCCAAGCTTTTCAAAAAATTGTCAAAGGCATTTCGGCCGTCGGATTCAGCTGAAGGGCAGATCTACGGCATCCTTGCTAGTGTGGGGCCTGTTTCAGTACAGGGCTGCCTTATTTAGAAGGTGGGAGAGTGTAAGGATTTACAAATCCTTACTGAGGCACTCGTTAGCGAGGTCATCCCGAGGGTCACGCGACGAACCTGACCTTCCTATTTCGTCGCACCGAACCACTCCCGAGTCGGCCTCCGCTCCAATCGCAACCATCACCGAGCCATCCTCGCCCAACCTCCCCGCCTAGCTAGCTTTTCCCCTATTTAGGCCTCGCTACTTCATTGTTCATTCAGTGATTCTGTAATTCTCATTCTCGATATTCGATATTCTGCGCACTCTGCAAGTTCATTCATAACATAGATGGTCTACTCTTATCACGTCCTAACACTGAACTCTCACCTTTGAAGCACCAGCATCTTGGACTCAGTACCATACATGTGTACTCCTAAAAACCAACAGTTTGGGGTGGAGCTCATGCCATTCGTGAGTAGTTCTTGAGGTTGGACAGTATGAATCATAACGAAAGAACAAGAACCGCACAATTACGTTAGCATAATATTACAGTACTGAGAGCACAAGGATGACCCAGAGCCCCTAACACCTATCGTGTATTCACTCATTGAGCTTCAGATCCACTAGCTGTGGACTGTAAGCATGTGTTGCAGCCACACAAAAAGAATCCACCCCCGACCACACCTCCGCACCCCTTTTCCTCCCATCCACGTGCCTCAGCCCTCCCTCGCTACACCTACTCCCATCCCAGAGAAGCTCTACGGTACCAAAGGACCACCCTGTGACTTCTCAGCCGATCAATGCAATCAGCCTGCTTGCTCTACCACTCTCCAGACGACCTTATGCCTGGGCGGCCACTAATATGACACGAATTGAGGGTCTCCAAGCATAGCGACATTTGTCCAGCCGACTGTGGTGACTGAGTTGCCCTGAACGGTCACTTTGCTTGACGTGATGGCGTCCCAGCTGTACTCCTTATAGATCCGTTTGTAGTTCTCCTTAAGCGACGTGCGCCTGACTTGTCGAAGGGTCGACTTCTTACGGTTCCAGCGATCGAACCCGCTGATCTTGAGATTCATGCGGAATTCCTTGGATTGCTGGTTCACGATGGTAACCGAGAGCCGGCGAGCCTTGGGAGAATACGCTGCCACCACCGAGTGCTTGCACTCGTTGCGAATAAAAAGCGGGTAACTCCCCCTGTGAATCCATCTCGTGAAGTGCAGCATGCCGAAAAACTGTTTCGTCAGCTTCGGACGGATTGGGCCGAACACCTTCCACCTCACCTGAATGGGACCCCAATTCGCCTTATTCACACTCTGTACAGGCAGCCAGTGATACCACGCCTCTACACCCATAATGTTGATATGCTGCGCTATCGAACGCGCCATGTACACAGCGGTTTCCAACGGAGTTCCACCGATGTGCAAGGGACCCCACTCCGTTTGCCATATCTTGGTTTTGTTGTGCTTGTGCGCCTCATCCCGAATCGCCTTGTACTCGTTCTCGTCCGCTGAGAGCGACATGACACGGAGCGATCTGTATCCGTGCACGGATATGATATCCGGAGCGTGTCCTAGCGGCCAGACCGACTTGCGCAGCGCGTTCACGGTGTAACCAGGCCAGCTGTCCACTCCGACGATGCGCGTTTTTCTAACCTTCTGCCTCTGCATCCCTTGGCGAAGCATAAATGTCAGCTTGCGCATTCCGAGCCCAGTGAACGTGCATCCTTCGTGGTACCCTCCCTTCCTCCACCATCCCTCCAGCGCTTCGTTAAACGGCGCGATTCCCGCGAACTGAATACCCCACTGCTTCTGAAAGTGCGCAACAACAGTCGCGAGGTAATCCGCGTAAGTCGGGTAATGACGCGCCATAAGGTTTGGCTTGCCCTTTAAGTTTCCAGCCGGGTCTTTACTGAGCGTCATCCACCACGGAGGTGAGTAGCTGATCGCGTCGACTTCGATATTGCCGCGCTGCCGGGCCTCCTTAAGCGCCAGTACTTGCTTCCAATCCCCGCCCCATTTGAAAACCCCCTTTCTTGGGCTGTACCCCTGGTATTTATCCTGCCTCCATATTCTGGGACTGAATCGCGGTGCGTAGCCTCCGGGTATAGCGTAACGGACGAGATTAAAGCCGATACCCTTCTTCTTGTGGAAAATTAGGTCCAGCATGACTTTGCGCCGGAACGGCTGCGACAAACCCCCGAGGAAACGCCCAGCCCTGAGAAGAGTCAAAAGAGGAGACAAGGAAAACGATCTTAGAAAAAATGCGCTGCGCGAACGTCGCGAGTGTTTTCCGAGGGTTATTGCAGGAGGAAAGGAGGTGGGGGGGAGGGGGGAGGAAGTGAAGAGGAAGGGAGGGTGAACGACACGACTCGCTGCTGGAATACGGCAAAGCACTCCAGCATGCGAGGAAACTGCTGACGGAACAAAAAAGGACAATGACAAGAGTCAGTGGTCGCCATCCTTCATCCTCACTCAACTCCGCCAATCATTCCGCCTCTCTTTCCCCTTCGCCTTGTTAACATCCCCCATTCCCCACCCACGACAACCATCACCGCTCCCTTCTCCCCTCATACCCGTCAATCCCTCCCCACATCCCCATCACCTTCCAAAACCCTCTTCCTCCTCCTACCAATAAGCTATATTTACTAACCAGGCAAGAGAAGTTCCCCAGCCGCGCCACTTGGTTCCCACGGCCTTCAGCCCGATCTCTAGTGTCACGCTGTCTGGGTAACAACAGGGGGAGGAGAAAGGGTACCACAGAGACGACACGGGGGAGAGGAGTTAGAAGGGAAGGGAGAGCGGAAAAAGAGAGGGGCGCGGGAGGGCGTGAGGAGGAGGGATAGGGGGGGGGGGGGGGGGGGGGGGGGGTGGGGGAAGAGGGTGAGGAATGGGGGGGAAGGGGAGGGGGGATGGGGGTAAGGGGGGTTAGGGAAGACGATGGGCGGCACAAGAGAGCAAGGGAAGAAATGACGAAGGGGTCACAGGAGAAAAACGTGAGCACGTGAGCCAACAGACTGTCCATCTGTTACCAGATACAACTGGAGAAACTAGTCACTAGGGCTTCCAATGAGCAGTACGCAGCACGTGCTACCATACACATCGACCAAAAACCTACCACTGTCCATCTTCGTGCAAGTCGGATAACGGATCTTCTTGTCCATGCGCGGGTATCTAATCCCGTCCACGACTCGCCACTGAGATGACGAGGCCGATGGTATCGCCATGGTTACTGCAGAGGAGTCTGATGAGCTGTTCGCCAAGAATGCGGTCGCGCTAGGGCTGAGGTCGGGAGCACTCGTGTCGTCGAAAAAGCTGGGAGAACGCTCGTCGTAACCGTTGGAGTACGGCTGAGCGTGAGTCATGGGAAGCGCGGTTTGCGCGAGGAGGGTGCAAAGGAGGACGAGGGTGGAGAAGGGCGCGAGAAGCAGTGCGGTGGGGTGGGAGTGTAATCGCGCCATTTTAACAAGGGGATCGGTTAACGGAGCCGGCTTATATGATCTCATTGAGGACCTCTGCGGTTGGTGGTTGACGCACTGATTTTATGCAATGCCAAGAAAAATTTGACGGTATCGCTAGCCTAGTTCCCTCTAACTGCCAATAGTGAGTAGTTGCTATTGAGTCTGTCTGCGCCGAGCCCTGATCAACTTTATAAACGCAGTAGAATGGATTGGAGGGTGAAGGGTAGGTTCACGCAGAGCAAATGAGTCGGCGGCGCCTAATGTAAGGGTGGGGGTTTGCTCATGAGCTAAGAAACAGCTATGCAGCAGCGCAGGAACTTGTTTGCGATGCGATGGTTGTGGTGTGGGACCTGGATGTCGCTAGCGGCTAAGGGATGGCGCAATGGCGGTTGGCAGGAAAAAAAAACAACGATCTGGCGGACTGGCACATGGAATTGCAGGTAAAGATGTCGGGGTCGGGAGTCGAATGATGGGGGGGGGGCGTGAATCGTGATTTTGGTTGGTTGGGGTGTTGTGGTCGGTCGGTGCTCGTAGTGCTCGAATGTTAGTTGGGGGCAGAGCAGCTATGGGAAGGGAACAGAGAATGGATGGCGAAACGAGTCGCGTCAGGGGAAACAAGGACCAAACACCTATCCAACCACGTGCCGAGCCTCCGCAGTCACGAATATCACCACTCAGGTAGCAAAGGGGCCGGTGCTTCGTGTCGCCCCTCCGAGGCTGGCTTATGGGCTGTAGTCGCTGGTTCGTGAAAGAAACCGTGGCCCAAACAACAGAGGGCCACCTTATCGCTTTGGTTTGGGTCGTTCAAACGGAGGTTGCGTCCTTGGCTTAACACACAGAGGCGTCTGGTTCGTGCTATGGGCATACACTTCGTGGCAAAGTCAAGCCAACCTGCGAGGTTCGAGACTAGTCACACCAGGCGAATTGACTAGCCAAACGCGTCTCGGCTTGTGTGATGCACGGCGGGGCTCTTATGTGAGCTTCCTTGTATGTTCACCGCGACACCAAACAAGCCGCTCGTGTAGCCCAGGGCGGCTCTACTTGGGGGGTAAAGCCCACAGGGTTACAACTTACAGTACAGAAAGGGAGCAGAGTGTCCATTTACACTCGACTCAAAACTCTGGTGTCTTGGGAGAGCTTGGGAAGAAAGGAAAGGAATTTCGCCATAGTGTTTCTGCCAAAATGCCATAAAAATATCACATCGGGCGAGGCCAGCTTTGTTCACTGTCGTTTTTACGTAACTTGCCGTCAATGGGCTCCTCAATTTTTACTGTTCTAAGCTGCACTCAGATCAATCCGTGTCGATCATCGGGTTTGCATTTCTAACCGCTGACAACGTTGTGCCGACATGTGCTACAGTTTCTAAATTTGGTTACCCTATATCGTAAGCGATGGGCAGGATTGCGCCTCGTCCTCTGCCATGGGTGGCGGGTAGGCGAAGTGGCGAAATCCTTCGGCATGACAGTTCGACCTGCATGACGCGATACGAACTGCTGGATGAGTTGAAGGTGTACCTTCGGATGTGTTCCACATGTCGAGGCGGACATTTCTGAATTGGGCAGTGGATAAACAGTTTCCTGTCAATGCATTTCAGAACGTTAAACTTGCTGACACGCCTCATTGTGGTAACTGCGCAAGAAAAAAAGAGTACGAAAATTGGACCCTCCTCAGTACACACACCCCAACTCCATAAATGGATGAGCTTCAGGCTTGCAGTTGCAGTTGGACGGGGTGGGCGGGAGCCAGCCACCTCTGTACAGTGCAGTCGTTTCACACCTACGAAGAGGACAAAACGTGAAGTCGGCTGGAGGTTTGAAACGAAACTCAGTTGGCTGTGAGATGGTTGAAAGCGGTCCCCCACAACTAGTGGTGAGGTTAAGTGGGATACGTCCACTTGTGTTGTATTCTATTCCATTCATAACGAGACAACTGATATACGGAGTGTAACATTTCGAAGCATGTTGTGCGATTTTCGCTACTCGCAATGTTATTCGTTGGGGTTGCGACGCCGCATTTGTATTGGCAAGACCCCTGATTGTTTGAATTGAAATTCCCATTTCAAAGTGAAATCTGCAATCAAGCCTACTTGGTGTTCAGAGCGTACGCGTGGAAGTCCCTGAACATATACACGCAGAGTACCGCGTCACCAATAGATCAACACGTACTGCAGCACCCGAATTTGACCAATCACAGCGTCTCGCGCGCTATTCTTGCTAGGCCATATTCCCGTTATAATCTCACTGATGTTCCAAATCCGAAGCATGGATACTCCCCGTGCAACACTCTCAGGGCTGAAGAGGAAAGCTATGGGAGACTCGTGATCGGGTTGTCGGGTCGTCGCACTTCGCGTGTGATCGTAAGCAGCAGAGCAGGTATCAAGGCTAGGAGGGCGTTTCTCGGTGTCTCATCTGTCCTTCATTCTGTTGACGCCTCGTTAGCTTCGCCAGCTCGCCCTAAGGCACCTTGAGTTAGTTCACGTGGAGGTAGCGTTCTGCCCTAAGGCACCGCTAGTGACAGATCCAGGTCTTCCAGCTTGTTACGTCTCGCAAGCCAAGGCCTTTCTTGTACCGCACATCGAGCACCCGTCGGCGTTAGGCAGACACTCCTGCATCGCTATCATGGCGGATCTATCTCAACTAGAGGAGCCCATCCTGAAGCCGAACAACCAACGTTTTTGCATGTTCCCAATCAAGTACAATGACGTCTGGGAGTTCTATAAGAAAGCGGAAGCTAGCTTCTGGACTGGTAGGTCTTGTACTTCGAAGTTCTTTAGCGTATCCTTCAAGGCGCTTTTCCCCGCGTAATCATCTACTTTTGGATTTTCCACGTCCGCCCGTGCGTTCCCGTAACCTATTCATGCCAACCTTTTGCCTGCTCGTTTTTTTGATCGGTTCGTACCCTTTCAGCCGAGGAAGTCGATCTTTCACAAGACCTGCAGCATTTCGAATCCCTAAGCGAAGACGAACGTTTTTTCATCCTGCAAGTGCTCGCTTTTTTTGCCGCCTCGGATGGAATCGTCCTCGAAAATCTTGCCGTGCGATTCATGAAAGAGATTCAAATCCCTGAAGTAAGACTTGAAGTATTTGCCTCCTTGCGAATTCTCTTGGACAATTTTGGCCTAACCATGACACGCTAGGTCTTTAGTCATTTTGAGCTGACTCGTTGCTTTTGGTGTGCTCCTGCACGTGGTGTGATGTTGATCTCAGGCAAGGGCGTTCTACGGATTCCAGATTGCCATCGAGAATATTCACTCAGAAATGTATAGCTTACTATTGGAAACATACATCAAGGACCCCGCGGAAAAAGACCGACTTTTTAGAGCAGTCGAGACTGTTCCTTGCGTGAAGAAGAAGGCTGACTGGACCATGCGGTATATTGAAGGCTCCCAGAGGTAATGTTGACTGGCCATCCTTTTTTGCTCTCAGGATTTCAGCCGCTCCATATTCACTATTTTTAGCTGAAGGCTTTACTCATCCTTGCCGTCCATGTTATTGGGACCATGCGCGCTTGCAGTTCCACTACGTTTGCTGAGCGTCTGGTGGCGTTTGCCTGTGTCGAAGGGATATTCTTTTCTGGAAGGTTCGTGCTGCCGTTGGATTTGTTTGTTTGTGCATCTTCCGCCTCCTCACCCCCGCCGCCCTTTCCCCGCCCGACTCCGCTCCCTTTCGTTTTCGTGCCTAGGCCGTCTTATTCTTCTCCCACATCCTACCAGTTCTTTCCTTGCTGTGGTAAATTTTTCTTCCCAGCGAAACCGACTCATGCCCTCTACTGTCCCATTACTGCCCTTTCTTGTACAGCTTCTGTGCTGTTTTCTGGCTTAAGAAGCGCGGGCTGATGCCAGGGCTGACGTTTTCCAACGAGCTTATATCCCGTGACGAGGGACTCCACACCGATTTTGGCTGCCTGCTTTATTCGTAAGTTCATCTGACGAGTGCTGAGTTGTACGCGGGGTCCAGGGCTTTAGAAAATAAAGGAGTTAGACCCATGTGCTTCACGGTTATGTGCATCCTTGTCACAATTTGATTGTTTTCCCGTCCCTCTTTGGTGGTGTGGTGCCTTCAGCCTACTTCATAACAAGCTAAGTGAGGAACGTGTGAAGGAGATTCTTTGTGAAGCGGTGGACATTGAGGAGGAATTCATTCGTGATTCTCTGCCGGTGGATCTCGTGGGCATGAACTCTGGGCTTATGTGCCAGTACATTGAGTTCGTTGCTGATCGTCTACTGGTAAGGTTCAATTGTCATCCGTTTCACAATGAGTGCTTGCTTCGTTGGTCTTTGATTCAGTGTGTTGACTTCAGCTAGGTTCTGTGTTGATTTCAGCTTAATTTTGTGTATTTAGCAGTTCACAACCCTGGAATGTGTGTGTGTTTGTGCGCGCGCGTGCGTGCGTGCGTGCGTGCGTGCGTGCGTGTGTGTGTGTGTGTGTGTGTGTGCGTGTGTGTCTGTGTGTGTGTGTGTCTGTGTGTGTGTGTGAGTCTGCGTGCAGGTGGCTCTGGGGTGCAAGAAGCACTACAATGTTCAAAACCCTTTTGACTGGATGGAGCTCATTTCACTACAGTGAGTTACTATGTGCTGTGTATTTAAAGTGAACTTGCACTGTGGGTCTCTGCCTTAAAACATCGAACTTTAGCTCTTCGCTTTCTAACCCTCTTTCCCCCTGTCCTGATTCCTTGTTGCAGAGGTAAAACAAACTTCTTTGAGAAGCGTGTGGGGGAGTACCAGAAGGCGTCTGTGATGGCGAATTTGCAAGGGAATGGGGCAGCACAACGAGTGTTCAGCACAGATGAAGACTTCTAAGCTAGTAGACAAGCTTTGTGTACCTCACGTCCACATTAACTTGAGAATGGCTTCTGCATGTGATCACAAAATTATATTTTTTGAAAGTGTAACACTTGTTAGAATC